TTTATGTTTTAAAACATTTTATGTTTTAATTAAACAAACATAAAAAACAGTTTTAAACTGTTTTTTTACCATTCCTAGTGTGGCGCAGCTTGCTACAATCAATATAATACAATCTCTAAATTTGGCTGCACTACACGTGATATTATAAATCTTCGTTCGTTTATATACATTTACCAATGATCTTCATGTATAATCAACCATTGGTCAAAATTGTTTTATATTGCGATATCCAATAAAAATTGTGATTTATTGTTTTCTAATCTTTTCGAAATTTTATAGGGTCCCTCCCTACCCGCCACAATACCCATTTCCAATTTCATGTACGTACGTATGTACGTACATACAATTGTTAATAACTCGTGACCTTGTGATCCAAATTGAATGGTACTAAAATCATTTAGTCAGGACCAATAAATAACGAGGTATGCGAGATTTTTACTAACTTCGCCAAATTACCTTATGCATTAGAAACCCAATAAGATATCGTCCCTGCATTGATCACGTGCTATTGATTCTGTAATGTGATTGGTAATTTTGAGGATCATCAAAAATGAAGCCCGGACGGACATTCCACTTAATATCGATATGAATTCTAATGTTTCAGAAGAGGAGTAAAGTCCAATAGTTCATAATATGGCGTGAACTTAATTTTCGCTACTAAACGTTTTCACACACTTTAGAAGGCACAGCTACTTTGTCTTAAAACATCACAATAAGCATTGTTAATTTCGAGAGAAGGGACACGAAAGTATAACGAAGCTTTCACAAAAGGATCTTCAAAAAATCAACTTGAAAAAACTTGCAAATGAGTAGATGTACTCTTGATTAATGTTCTATTCTAATTGATTCCTGAATTCATATAATTTATGCTAAAAACGAAAGTTTTCAAAATTACCTGATAATGGACAAAAGCTACATGAAACAAATGCGCGAATTAAAAAGCAACTTGAGAAATTCAATTCTAAAACACTGCCATTGAATCAGTTGGAGATTGACTTTTAATATAGTGATTGGCGATAACAAAAAACAATCAAATAAAATGGAAAGACAAGCAAATAACATGGGAAAATACCATGATAATCATAGAACCACCAAACTTATACCAATAACGGAAAGTATAAAACTTCAAGAAAACAAAAGCGACTTGGAGAGGTTTGATTTATATAATATATAATAGAAATTTTTTATAATCAACTATCTATTAATAATTCATCATTAGCGAGTTATTTATCATATCTATAGGAAATTAGGATCAAACAGTTAACTGAACAATTTGAGAAGATGACGGTCAAAAGCGATGTGGGCAATCTTACACAGTATGTTATTGGAGGACACATTGTTGTATTAATACATTTAAATCTTTATTGATACGTTACTTATGATCTCATAGATATCGCACCACAGATGATGGTGAACTTGAAGAAGTAATTTCCGATGGAGAATCGAGCCATTCGCATTATTCAAAAGATCAATACTATTAATAATAATATTTTTGATTTAGTCATAATCTGTTTAAACATGTATATTCATCATATAACAATTACAGAATTGTGGAATTGATAAGGTAAAAATATTAATTTAGTTTTTCTATCATTATTTTGATTTAAAAAGGCATTGAAGATATAATCTATATCGGAATTCTGCCAATATAATACACGTTATTCTCATAAACTACGATTAATTATCAGATACTGTATTAACATAAAATCTGTCGTCTTTACGTTTAAATTTGGATCTCTAATGCTGTAATGAAAACGTAAGAATGTGTGCTACGACTCATTGATTAAAACAATGCAGCTGTCATAAAAATGAAAACGAATCAGAAAATTTTATTTTAGCAAATTTGGTATTCTTTCGTGTGACACGAGAATAACTACGTGCGTCACTGCTGTACTGATTGACCTGTATAGTCACATGAGACAAGGACATACAATGCAAGTATACACTTTAAAAAAAAGCTTTCACATATCTACACTAAAAGTAGACAAATGCAGGAAAGCAGAACCACAAACTATTAAACCTTACTTTGCGTTTGTGCATGTTGGATGAAGCGGATGGGGTAACATTTCGGGTACGATTGCAGAAACGGAGATAAGCGAAGGCGAAAGGTTCCGATAGTTTTTAAAAAAATGGTAAGTTAAATTTTAAAAATTCTTTGTGTTAAAGAAAGTTACGGGATTGACACGTGCATATATTCGTAAAGTGCAATTGTTCTTTTTTTTCATTCTCCACTTAAACCGATGTAAATTGTTCCCCAGATTTTATAATTTAGTGTGGCTTGTATTATCGGCCGTTGAATTCTGAATATATTTAATCATGTGATATGCAGGATATCATTATAGTGTGTTTCAAGTTCTCACAATGGGCCTTTGCAAATATGTAATAATTGAATCAATTTAATTACTAAACAATTGGCTTTTGTACTTGTTTTAATGTTACAGATGTGTATTTATACATATAGTTGGATCGTTAATGTCTATATACGTACATAACGTATGTACTTTGGTAAACGTCAAGTATTGGTGTCCCTTGACTTTGCTCCCAAAAAAAGTATTCTTTTGATTTCACTGCAAATATTATTTTTAACTAAACTCATTCTTTTCTTTCTTCGGGTGTTCAGACTATAAACATATATAAAAACCCACGTTTTTATAAGAAAAATCTTTTCCTTTCCTTGAACAATAAAGAAAAAAAACCAAATTTTTTCTTGTTCTCTCCGTCCTGCAATCTTTTGTGTGTCACGACCGACTTCTTTTTTCGTTTCTGAATAACTAAGCCATTCAATAAATACTTAACTTCTTTGTGACTATAAATAGCAGTCTGTAGTTTCGAATTTTTTTTCCTTTGTCTACTTGAATATTATAATTTTGGCTGTGGTCTTAACGGCCTGAGGCTTATTTCCGAGTCTAAATTACATTAATGCGGTAGCCTGCCTCTTGAAACGTATACGTTTTTTTCTCTTTTTTTACGAATTTCGGGTCTTTTGAACCGTTTAATATTTCTAAAAAACTATAATGACCGCAACTCCCGCACCAGTAACTTCAAACGAACACGATTCTCATTTGTTTCATAATACAAGGAATAGGATCGCGTCGTTGTCAAGTAAAAATAAAGAGGTATGCTTCATTTTTAAATACTGTTGGTCTTTTACCAATTTGAGAGCGTCGGTAATACCTCAAAACTGTGGTAATACTTTCAACTGTAGAATATAGAATACTTCAAACGATTTGTCATTACGTTTCGACTCTAAATTTAACATATATGAATTTCTATTGCTAATAAAATGGCAATTATTATTATTATTTTTTTTTAAATATAAACCTTTTATCAAATACAGATTCTTGACCAAATAAGCCAGCTTCATCAATCTCATTCTCAAGCTTTATCAGTTATTAATAGTCAATTGGACATTCCACACAGTACAACTAGTACTGTACAAGACATCGATAATCTTGTTAATAATTTAAATTTAACTTCGAGACAAAGGCGTAACAGCAATTTGCAACAACAATCGGTCGCATCTGTTCGACCTGAATCATCTATACCTAATAAAAATGTTATTAGTGTTATAGAAGTTGAAAAAAATAACGAATTAGAAACGACTGGATCAATTGATAACACTTTATCGTTTACGGGACGTTCTTCAAAAATTTCAATCGCAAATCGTAATTCTAAAGATTCACTTAGGATGGATAGTTTATCCCCTAATGCTAATAATGTAGGAGAGTTGGATTGGAAATATCTTTTAGCTGAACATAATTCTGATTCTGAAAATGCTAATGAAATTTCCGGTAGTGTGGATGATAAAGAATTTAAAATTAATGATGATTCATCTAATCGACGGAGAAGTTCTAAATCTTATCCTACTCTAACCATAAACACTAAATCCTCTAAACCTACTCGTCTGATCACTCCGGAATCTTCTGATTCGGAATTTGATATTTCGAATGCCCACATGCCTCTTGCCTCTTCATTGGGTGGAGGTATAAATCCTTTACGTGTACCACGTCATAGTTCTGCAGAACTTTATAAGGGTAGTATAATAGAGAGACGTGGTAGACCTATTAGTATGACTTTTTCTTCAATGGATGAAGTTATTGAAGAAGAAAGAGGTTCTTTATCGGACATTGCTGAGCAAGAAGCCGCTAATGTAAGAGCATCTGATAATAGTGTTCGAACACGAAATAGACTGTTGGCTAATAGGAAAAAGCGCGGACAAAAATATGCTGATGATTTTAATGAGGGAACTGATGTTTCAAGTGTTTCAAGTGTTTCAAGAACAAATAAAATAAATAATCGTCTACAAGCGGATGAATATTCTGCAACTGATATTCATGATGATAATAGTAGTATTATGTCAAATGAATCTTTTGTTGATGAACTTAATGCATTGCGATCACGTATTCAGAAATTAGAAGCTGAACGTGTTAATATTGATGATGGTGAGTTATCAATTTTTCTTATAACTATTATAACTAACTATTAATTTATAACTTTTAATATTAAATTTTATAAAAAAAAGATTCAACTTCAGAAAAACGATCTAGGAAAAAGAAAAGTACTTCGGATCAAGCTATATCACCATCAGTAACATCACCTGTTAGTTCGCAAGGCGGTGCAAGTTCTACAAATACAGGTACCACTAGACGTACATCTACAGCTCAACATAATAAACACTTGGAAAACGCTTTTGAGTTTTTTGAAAAGGCATTTACGACTTCGGATCAGTCCACTAATGATGCATCACCTCCTCCTTCCCACTCGATGGCTATGGTTGTATCAACTGCTCTTTATCTTAATTCTAACTTACGTAATGTTACTGCTCAAATGGAAAGTGGCGGTCAACCTTCAGAAAAATATTTGAAGGTTTTGTTAAAAACTAGTGATGAACAGATTCGAAGTTTAACTGAATGCTTATTAGCTTTGGGTCCCCTTGCTCTTAAAAAAGCTCCTACTAAGAAAGATTCATGTAGTTCCCTTTTACAAACGCCTACCACAACACGCTCTATTTCTCCAATACAAAGAATACCTTCTACTTCTTCAGAAATGAACCATCATGAAATACATCAGGGTGTTGATCATTCCGTACGGAGAATTTCTCCTACTCCACCAACAGATCTATCTTCACCTACTTATTATACTACTCAACGTACATCTAGATATCGTATATCTAGACCCCCTTCACCGGGTTTGCCACCAGAAAATTTGTATGATTCTCAATTTACTCAAGCTCCCTCTTCACGTGCTGCTGACTATCGAGAAAGACGCAACCGTCGTTATTCTGGTAGTACGTACGGCGGTTCTTATTCTGGTCCATTCCCACCGCCTTCTTCATCACCTCCTCCTCCCGTTCAATCTTCACATTATGATCAATCTAATGTACGATCTTATCTTGACCGAGAAATTCCTCGTTTACAAAGATATAACAATTCTGTTCCCCCTACTACTAACACTACATCATATCAAAGATCTTCATCTCGTCCTACGTCTCTTGTACAAGATTCATCATATAATGTTGGTCATATGCGTAGTGCTTCTAATTCATCATTATTTCGTTCTTCCTCTGGACGGTCAATTACACAACGTGGTGATGAGTTTGTCAATAGTCCAGTTTCAACTTCACGACAACCACGTACTTACGAATACACTCGTAGATATCAATCAGAAAATGGTCAATCTCAATTTGACAGGCGTCAAGCACCTGTTTCTGAAATGGATAGAAGATATGGAAGACGAGTTGGTGGAAATTATGAACCTGATGAGGTCTTCGATGGTCAAAATGGTTACGGTGATCATATTTCTGACAGAGACTATGCATTAAGAAGAGAAGATTCAAATAATAGTACTGGTAGTATTCATAAGCAAAGATCGGCTCCTCCGCCAGAAGAACAGATTCATAATGATAGTGTGGAAAGCAGGGAAGAAAGTCGTAATGAAAGTCAAGATGAAATTCGCAATGATGGCGGTCAAGAAGGTCGTCAGGTTGATAATACAAATAATGACAATGTTGTTGAAAATGGTGGATATATATGATAGGTTTATTTACAATTACTAGGTTTGGATTTTATTTTTCCAAACTTTTTGTATTCTAAGTTTAGAACAATTTTTGGACTTTTTCTACAAACTGGTCTTGACGACCTTTTTCTTATAAATATTTATTTTCAAAATTTTCGTGTAGATATTTTCATTACTGTTATTAACCATTGATTATTCCATATACTTATGATTGGCTCGTTGAAATGACAATTTTATTCAAATTTATTATCTCACGATTTATTGTTGATTAATCTATTTATATATTTATATATTAGAGGAATTACCGATATATATATGTATATATGTATAATATGTATATATGTATATATATATATGATTTGTTCTCCTTATATTAAGTATCGAAAATTTTGACATTTATAATATTGAATAGGAACCATTATTTTATCATGAAATCATTTTTTTCTATGATTATTAGTAATTATCCCCCTCTCAAAAAAAAAAAAAATTTTTATCATTCATTCTATTAAAAAAGCAAAACCAAAAAAATACGATTTTTTTCAATGTACGTACATACGTACAAATTTTTCTATAAAAAAAAAGATTAAAAATTCAATAATTTACTTAATTTTATGATTTAAAATTATTTACATGTATAATATCTGAATTATTTATAAAATATAGATATAGAAATTAAAAATGTATAAATTATAATGGGTGTAAACATTGGGGTTTCTGATACTTATACGTATTACGTAACAAATTATTTATTTTTTAAACCGCTTGCAAATTCAAAATTACTTATCCCGCTAACTATTATCTTTATAGAACGTATCCCCAATAATTTATTTTTCTTGTTTAGAACCCACCATAATTAAGAATTGGCATCTTCAAAACCCGTTTCAACTAACCACTAATTAGGACCTGCTAATTAAAAGCTCACCCACTAGGGTTCGAGGCACGGGCATGCCTAGTTATGTGATGTATACGTCATATTTGATTGGCCAACAATCGGTAGACAAATGCCTAACCCATATAAATAAAAGCAAAAAAAACAAAAACTTCAAGAGCAGAATATGATGTTCATAAAATATACAGTGCGCAACACTTAAAGACTACATTTGCCCCATTTTTAAAATTTAAAATTTAAACTTTAATTTATTTTAAAACGTTGATTTTTGATGTTTTTATAGTTGCTTAATTTTGATTGGTCAAATTTCTTGAATTATCATTGGTTAAAATGTTTTAAAATTTTATTATATAAATTTAAACCAATTTGATTGGCTATTTTTTCAATGTGTTCCGTTTTTAACTTTTTTCATAGGTCAAGTTAAACTTGACCTGGGTCAAATTGATTAATTAAAAAACCCGGCCGGCATCAACATAATTTAGGCCCACTCTAACCCTAAAATTCTGCTAGGGATCAATTTGATCTGGGTCAAGTTTAACTTGACCTAAAAACCAATTTGACCCGTAACATATATATTAAATATTTAAGGTGGGAAAAGCTATATAAATTATATTTTAAAAAGTTATTATAATTTTTAAAAAATAAAGCCACTAAGTTTTAGCAAATTAATTAAGCTACAAGACAGTAGCTTTCTTTTTTAAATAACTTTTTTAGATCAAAAGGTATTGGCTTTTAAACCTTATATAGTTTTTAAGTATTATGCACTGTAGAAGAATTATAAAAAATTTGTAAATAATATTAAAAAAATTTCATAAATAGATCTTAATATAATTATAAGTTTTTAGATCAAAATTGACAATTATATACAAACTTAATAGCAATTAAAATTGTAAGCTTTGCAAGAAAGATGATGAATAAATAATCAAATTTTTATTATATTTTTAAAATTTATGTATTATTAAGCTAGAATTCCATGTTCTAGTAATCTAAACATCCAACTTTTTATAAGTAGATTTTAGGTTCAAGTTCTATTAGAAGCAAATTCTAGAAATATTTAAATATAGTTGGGATTTTGCAGCCTAGTGGTCTAGGCATCTAACTCTCCATGAGCGGGTTTCGGGTTCAAGTCCTAGTAGATACATTTACCTACGAATATTTGGAAGTATCTGCTATAGGAAGTTCAAGTGAATACAGGTTTGAATTAGAAATTTTCAAAAGGAGATCTATTGTGGAGTAGTTGGCACTATGTGTAACTGTAGTTATTACAGAAGGTTCTATTACACAAAGGTTATATGTATAAATCCACAATTGGCAAGGTAGTACCAACAATCTCTAAGGTATCTTGTTTGGGAAAATGACTGGGCGGTAACCAGAATTGGAAAGTAGTGAGAAATGTGGTAAACACAAAGAGACCTGTAGTAAAGAATTGGCTTTACCAGATTTGGAATACCTCTGGCAGTATGAAACTCACTGGCCAATAAGAAGTTGAAGCATGGAGGCATGTATATGTTGATAGATTCAACGGGCTTACCCATATGGGAGTCTTTGGGCATTAAAAAAACTTGGAAACACCAATAAGGTATAGCTAGTATAAGTACATGCAGTAGTAATCGGAAACTGCTGAGAATTACCAAAAATGATGATGCACTTGTTACCTCTGAGCCTCATGATGCTACCTAACTATATTAACTACTAGAAGCATTCTGCGAAACATATCTGGGAACTCATTACTATATTGGGAAGTATAGTCATTAGCACAATTGCCAAAATAGATATGTTAAAACCTGGGTTCCAAAGTTGCAGAAAACCAGCTAGTTATAGCAGTATGCAGGCTTGAGATACTTATCTGATTGGGTAGAGGCAGCTGTATAGCTTGAGATATGAACTTCTGAAAGTATGCCAGTAGGGACTAAAGAAGTAATTCCCTGTCAGGCACACCAAACTAGAAGCAATAAGTGTCTACCTAGAGCTACACACACTGATTTGGAAGTTGAAAAAGTAGGTAATATGGGTAATGTAAATACTAATTGGCAGTTGGGAGGGATGTACAAATCCAGATTAGCTGTGTAGTGAGAATATGATTGGCTCTGGTGGGTTTTAGCTATAGATAAATAGTTTGTATATCTGATATCCTAGTCTTAGTACTTGAACTAATATGTATATATATAGGCACCATCATATATTAATCATTTAAGTATTAATAAAGTCTAAGTGTAGGTACTACACCCTTATAATTAAAAAGAATATATATATATTTAAATATACTTATTATAAGAAGTTTAGATAAATACTTATTTGAAATAGAAATTTTTAGAAAAAGGTTTATTGTAAAAAGATAATGCTATATATAATAGCAGATATTATACAAGGTTTTATTATACAATATAAAAGTTGTGTATATAAATACAAATAGCATCAATAATCTTTAATTAATGATCCGCGAGTTAACTGGTGAAATTTTTGATGCAAATCACATATATGTAAAGCCAAATAGATATTTTAAGGTTATATGTAAAGTCGATAAATCTCAAATAAATATTTACTTTAAAGTAGTACAATTTGTAGAGTAATACTTATGTGATTTTAATATGAAAACAACTAAGTGTAAAAGTTTTTTGTTAAAAACTTTACTTTGGATACACGCGAGATTTACTATGATGAGTATATTTAGATTAGTTAGTGTAATAAAATCTTATAATTAGTTGCATTTAATCTTGATTTTTTCGAATAATTTTTATTTTTGGGCTTATTATTGCATATTATCGCATAAAACAATATTTAAAATAAACTTTGCTTGATAGTACTAAAATTGCGTCACTTTAAAATTAAAATAATTAGTAAGTATAGCTTATTCTGGGATTTAGCTAATCTCATTAACTAATATAATTTGCTTTATTACTAAAGCTTTAGTGTATTCTTGGATTATGCTATAAAATAGCTGATTAAAAAAACCCGTATTTGAAATTTGTTGAAGGTGGCAATTCAGACAAAAATCTTGGATTCTGCTACAAAAACAATATAGGTGGCTAAGATAAAAAGATCTACTAAAATGATAATTCAAATAGGCAGTAAGGTTTTAACACTGCTACAAAAATGTATATGCTAGCTAAGAGATATTAGATAGTATTTGAAAGTGGCAATTCCAATAGACAATAAGGTCTTGGCATTGCTATAAAAATGGTATAGGCCAGCTAAGGCGAAAAAAGATATTCAGGTGATATTTGAAAGTAGCCATATGAGCTGATTTACAGAATTGCCAATAACTTTTGATATACTTGTCCATTTTGAATAATTTTATTACCAAAATGTTGGTCTTAATGAGATGGTTCTAATAAATCCAAAATCGTCAAAATCTAATTACAGAGTCCCAAGATAATTAAGATTTTGTATGATTTTACTATTAATTTTTATTATGTAGACAATCATTTAATGAATTGGTTTTATATATAACTTTATATATAAAACCAATTCATTAAATGATTGTCTACATAATAAAAGTTAATCGTAAATTCTACAAACTCTTAATTATCTTGGAACTCGGTAATTGGATTTTGATGATTTTGGATTCATTAGAACCATCTCATCGAGACCAACATTTTGGTAATAAAATTATTCAAAATGAATTAGTATATCAAAAGTTATTGGCAATTCTGTAAATCAGCTCATATGCAATTCTAATGGGCAATAAGGTCTTCAAAAAAAAAAGAGCATTTACCACGCAAGACTCATTCTTGAGATTTTATTCATTGAGATTTGCATAGTAGTAACATTTTACAAAACAGTATAACATGTATATTACTAACTTGATTTTTTTAATTTAACTTTAAAACAAAAAAAAGCGAAATTTATAGGTCATGTCATATATTCTCTAGAAGTCTTGCAAGGAAAACCGTTTATATAAGCAATAGACATTTATAGCTTTGGAATTATTATAGCTGAATTAATAAATGAATAAAGACTTTTCAATAGTAAGCCATTTGATATTAATCCTGTATTAATTATCTGCTATAAGTTAAGACTTAAGTTTACTCTAGAACTTCCGAATGTTATGTTTGAATTTTAATCTAAATTAAAGTCTTAGATCAGATGGAGAAAAAAAATTAGGTGCTTTTGTAAGAACATCATACTA